TGCCCTGATTTGTGTCTGTGTGATCTAGTAACCTCATCCGCTGCGCATAGCACCCCGAATTTCACTCTGACATTCCATGCTGAATTTGGGGTGGGCGGTTGCATTCTGAAAGTAATGAGAAGCTAGGTGGATCCCCTCTTTGGATGCCCAGAAGATGAAGACCTTACCTGGATGTCCAACATTGAGAAACAGGTTGGATTCATCACCTGCCTCCTCTATGTCATTCCACATCCTTCTCAATGACTTGGGTGATGGAAACCGTACCTCCTTCCTCTACATTCAAACTTTCTCTTTCTTATTTATAGAGTTACACACTTGGTAGACGAAGGGTATGCTGTGGATGTAGCATATCTTGGTTTCTGTACAGCCTTTGACAAAATCACGGATCACCTTCAATGCCAGCTTGACCAGGGCGGGTCGGTGCTGCTTGTGTTATTGGATCTCACAGCAACATTGGACACAGTCGACCACAATCTTTTGACCCACCGCCTTGCTGCTGTTGGAGTCAGGGGAAGAGCTTTAAATTGGCTGTCCTCATTTCTTCACAACCGTGGACAGCAAGTGGAGAGGGGAGGCCTGGTCTCTGAGAGGTCCCCTCTATCTTCCTCAGGGGGCCATTCTTTCCCCTCTGTTTTTTAACACTTATATGCGACCACTTGCTCAGCTGGTTCGAGGTTTTGGGCTTGAGTGTTACCAGTATGCTGATGACACTCAGCTGGTGCTGAGGATGGAGGGCAGACCGGTCTCCGTATCTGATTATTTCCATCAGTGCCTCGAGGCTGTTACTGGATGGCTGCGTGCCAGCAGGTTGAGGGTGATCCTATGGCTGGGTTGACCGGGCAGTGGGGATATCCAGCTGCCTCCCCTGGATGGCGAGACGCTACGCCCGTCCTCGTTGGTCAAGAGTCTGGGAGTCCTTTTGGACCCTCTGCTGATGATGGAGGCCCAGGTCTCCGCCATGAGCAGAACCGCCTTCTCTCACCTGAGGCAGGCTAGACGGCTGGCCCCCTCCCTCTCCAGGGACGACCTAGCTACGGTGATCCAGGCCACGTCATTTCAAGACTGGATTACTGTAATGCCCTCTCCATTGGCCTTCCTCTGTTGGTGACCCGGAAGCCCAAGCTCATACAAAATGCAGCTGCTCGGCTTCTTGCGGGAATTCCGATGAGATGCCACATCACCCCAATCTGACTGCAGCTGCATTGGTTACCCATTGAGCACCGGCTCACTTTCAAAGTGATGGTACTCACCTGGAAGGTCTTGCATGGTCTGGGGCCGATGTACCTGAGGGACCCCAGGTACACCCCCTACCAACCTGAGATCCCTCCGTTCTGAGGACCAAGATTTATTGGAAATTCCCAGTATCAAGACCTTGCATCTAACTGCAACCAGGCGCAGAGCCTTCACAGCAGTGGCACCATCGCTCTGGAATACTCTGACACCTGAAGTCCGAGCCTTGCGGGACTTACCAGCTTTCCACAGGGCATGGAAGACATACCTGTTTCGACAGGCTTTTAATGTTTGATATTGCTGTTTTAAAATTGTTTTAAATTGTTTTTAAATTGTGTTAGATTTTAGCCTGTTCTTGTAAGCTGCTCCGAGCCCCAGGGGAGTGGCCGCATAGAAGTTTGAATCATAAATAAATAAATAAATAAAAATGTGGTCCGGACAGTGCTCCTGTGAGGTGGATTAGGAATTGGTGGAATGGCCCAACTCAAAAGGTACTTCTGTCCAATGGCACATCCTCTTCTTCCTGGAGAAAAGTGACTATATGGGTGCCCCAAAGAGGAGTCTTTTGGGGCCTTTCAGGGCTATCCAGGGTCTAATGAAGGACTTGGAAGAGCAGGCATGCCTCTCAAATTTGCACGTGGACCCAAATTGGGAAGGAAAGCCAATATCAATTTCTGCTCCATTTGAGTTTCGTTGAGTGACCCAAGAGAACCTCTGCCTGCAGAACCACAACTTCCCAATTTTCTAATTGACTTCCTCAAACAAAGCACAGAAAAATGTATCCCTCCCCTCCTAAGAAAGGAAAGTGAACATTTACATTTAAAAATTATTTTGCAAAACACATGTTGCAGTTTTTGCTTTGTTTTAAATTGTGACCAGACTGGTGGATGGCCACTTTTGAGTCCCTACAGGGAAAAAGGCAGGGAATAAAGCAGTGGTTCTCAACCCTCCTAATGCCAGGACCCCTTAATGTAGTTCCTCATGTTGTGGTGACCCCCAACCATAACATTATTTTCGCTGCTACAACTGTAACTTTCCTGTTATGAATCGTAATGTAAATATCTGATATGCAGGCTGTATTGTCATTCACTGGACCAAATTTGGCACAAGTACCCAATACGCCCATATTTGAATACTGGTGGGGTTTGGGGGGGTGGGGTGGTGGTGGTGGTGGTTGATTTTGTCATTTGGGAGTTGTAGTTGCTGGGATGTATAGTTCACCTACAGTCAAAGAGCATTCTGAACTCCGCCAATGAAGGAAACGAACCAAACTTGGCACACAGAACTCCCAACAGTAAATACTGGAAGGGTTTGGTTTTGGAGTTGTAGTTCACCTACATCCAGAGAGCACTGTAGACTCAAACAATTATGGATCTGGATCAAACTTGGCACAATACTCCATATGCTCAAATGTGAGCACTGGTGGAGTTTGCGCAAAACAGACCTTGACATTTGGGAGTTGTAGTTGCTGGGAGTTATAGTTCACCTACAATCAAAGAGCATTCTGAACTCCACCAACGATGGTATTGAACCAACCTTAGCACGCAGAACTCCCATGACCAACAGAAAATACCAGAAGGGTTTGGTGGGCATTGACCTTGAGTTTTGGAGTTGTAGTTCACCTACATCCAGAGAGCACTTTGGACTCAAAACGATGATGGATCTGGACCAAACTTGGTACAAAGACTCAATATGCCCAAATGTGAACACTGATGGACTTTGGGGAAAATAGGCCTTAACATTTGGGAGTTGTAGTTGCTGGGAATTATAGTTCCACAATCAAAGAGCTTTCTGAACCCCACCAACGATGGAATTGAACCAAACCTGGCACACAGAACCCCTATGACCAACAGAAAATACTGTTTTCTGATTATCTTTGGTGCCCCCCCCCCCCCCGGACACCCCCTTGCAACCCGACCCCCAGGTTGAGAAATGCTGGTAGAAAGTAAATCATCAAAAAAGGAATAAATATTCTCCCGTGGCCCTTGAAAGGCTGTTCTGATGCTCAAACATAAGAGCCTACTCTGTGGCCAAAATGTGAAGAAACCCCTTGGTGCATAAATATGAAACCTGGAAGAAAGAAACCACACGCTTGCCTGGTGTATTGCACAGCACACACATAAGTATATGGAGAATCGCTTTATTCCATGTCCTGATAGTAAATTAACAGCAAAACTTCCCTCTCGTCCCCATCGCATCAAACCCTCCTGATTTGGGAGAACAAGGCCCACAAATCCTTTTTGAAAAATTGCATTTAAAATGTCCCAGCTTCCTCTCTCCTCACTTCTCTCTTTAGTTCCCGGCAAACTTAAATGGATGCAAAAAGTGCAAAAACAGTTCACGAGTTGGCTAAGTACAAACTGGGTTGCTGTGCATTTTTTGGACCACCTGGCCATGTTCCAGAAGCATTCTCTCCTGATGTTTCACCCACCTCTATGGCAGGGATCCTCAGAGACTGAGGGGTCTGTTGGAAACTAACCAAGTGAGGTTTATATATCTGTGCAATAACATCCAGGGTGGGAGAAAGAACTCTTGTCTGCTTGACACACGTGCAAAGCACCCACTTTTCAGTGGGTTCAGTTCTTATAGACCTGACTGTGAGAGCCGTTCAGCAGTGGAACTCTCTGCCCCGGAGTGTGGTGGAGGCTCCTTCTTTGGAAGCTTTTAAACAGAGGCTGGATGGCCATCGGTCAGGGGTGATTTGAATGCAATATTCCTGCTTCTTGGCAGAATGGGGTTGGACTGGATGGCCCATGAGGTCCCTTCCAACTCTTTGATTCTATGATTCTATGTTCCTAAAGCATTCTCTCCTGGTGAAACATGCGTGTGGTATGCTTGGACTTAAAATCGTAGAAGAGACCTCATGGGCCATCCAGTCCAACCCCATTCTGCCAAGAAGCAGGAATATTGCATTCAAATCACCCCTGACAGATGGCCATCCAGCCTCTGTTTAAAAGCTTCCAAAGAAGGAGCCTCCACCACACTCCGGGGCAGAGAGTTCCACCGCTGAACAGCTCTCACACTGGGAAATAGAGGGAGAAAATGTGGAGGCCATGACAGACTTTGTATTTCTAGGTGCAAAGATGACTGCAGATGCAGACTGTGGCCAGGAAATCAGAAGACGCTTCCTTCTTGGGAGGAGAGCAATGTCCAGTCTCGATAAAATAGTGAAGAGTAGAGACATCAGACTGGCAACCAAGATCCATTGCCTAGTCAAAGCCATGGTATTCCCTGTAGTCACCTATGGATGTGAGAGCTGGACCTTAGGGAAGGCTGAGCGAAGGAAGAGAGATCTGAACTGTGGTGTTGGAGGAAAGTTCTGAGAGTGCCTTGGACTGCGAGAAGATCCAACCAGTCCATCCTCCAGGAAATAAAGCCCGACTGCTCATGGAGGGAAGGAGACTAGAGACAAAGTTGAAGTACTTTGGCCACATCATGAGGAGACAGCAAAGCCTAGAGAAGACAATGATGCTGGGGAAATGGAAGGAAAAGGAAGAGGGGCCGACCAAGGGCAAGATGGATGGATGGCATCCTTGAAGTGACTGGATTTACCTTGAAGGAGCTGGGGGTGGTGACGGCCGACAGGGAGCTCTGGCGTGGGCTGGTCCATGAGGTCACGAAGAGTCGGAAACGACTGAATGAATGAACAACAAACACGTTGAATTTCTTATTACACAGACGAGTTCTTTCTCCCATCCTGGACATTTCACAGATATGTAAGATACATAAACCTCACTGACTTGGTTTCCAACAGACCCCTCAATCTCTGAGGATGCCTGCCATGGATGTGGGTGAAACATCAGGAGAGAATGCTTCTGGAACATGGCCAGCCAGCCCAAAAAATGCACAGCAACCCAGTGATTCCGGCCATGAAAATCTTCGACAACACTAAGTACAAACTATTTTTGCAACTGAAGTGAGCCAAGAACTAAAGAGAAAATAGAAAAGAAGGAAGATTCTTATCCTTCCCAATGGCACTGGGCAAAAGCACACTGCTGCGACCTCTCTTTGCTTGTATGTGATCTTCCTCATTAGCAACTTTTGCCATTCTGACCACGCTCTGACATTGCTTGGACACAAATACCCCACTTTTCACCCTTTGCCCTCGGCGATATGAGTCTCGATCACAACCTGTGCTCTTTTTAGAAGACGTCTGTGCTCTTTGCAGTCGATGAGCTGAAAAGAGAAACTCCGACGGCAGCAAAGTTCCCAAGGCATCTCTGAGAAGGAGCCAAGAAGGGACACGGCAGCCAGGGAAACCGATAGGAAAGGAACGACTGCCTTGACCCTGCCTCAGTCCCATTTAAAGCGCATGATCCGTGTGCAACGGCATCCGTTCCCAGAAGTATTTTTGGCTAAGCCGCAACTCGTAGCCTGCACTGAGTACCCGGTGGCCCAGCCCAGGAACCCAATAAAAGGGGTGCGGTATGTTCTATAGTTCGTCCACCAGCCTCGCCCCGTATCAGACAAGGAGACAGATAGATACATTTATAAATATATAGGCATATATCTCTATCATTATATGTTTGGAATTACTCTCTTTTAGAAAATAAAATGTTGTTTTCAAATAATACCTCGCTGCGTTGTAAAACTTAAGGCAAACCCTGGAAAACCCAAACCTGCCTCTTCCTACAAGGGCAAGCATTTCCGCTGGCATTTGTCAAGACTTCCCTTGGCTTATAGCTGGAGGAAATTAGAAGTTTGTACAAAGGTCGATCCCAAACTTTTCCACTCGCAGCTGACGACTCAGTCCGAACAGAGGGAATGGCAACAGATCCATACAAGATTTTGTACTGCTATGAGCTGTCTAAGGTGCTGAACCACTTTGTGATCTGGGTTTCAGGACCTTGGACAGTTCCTTCCAACCTGGAGTAGGTCCATCCTCATAGAAGCCACCACTTTAGTTTGGACTTGAAATTGTCCACTGGAGGCTTCTAGCACTTTTTTTTCTCCCCAAACTACAAATCCCAGCATCCCCCAAGAGACAGCTATGCCTCAAATTCACACTTCCAAAATCATGGAAGAAATACATTTGGGTCTGGGCACATCAGGCTCAGTATCTCTTGGTTTCCAGGTGGGTTCATTTGAAATAATGTACGGATTTCATGACACCGTGAGCCTCTATCAGCGTGTCTAGATAACAAGGGTTCATACAAGGTTTCTGTATTGCTTTCTATGAGCTGTCTAAGGTGCTGAACTATGTGATCTGGGTTTCAAGACCTTGGACAGTTCCTTTCAACCTGGAGTAGATCCATCCTTATAGAAGCCACCACTTGGGGGTCGGTTTGGACTTGAAATTGTCCACTGGAGGCTTATAGTACTTTTTTTCTCCCCAAACTACAAATCCCAGCATCCCCCAAGAGACAGCTATGGTAGTTACAATGCTGGAATACAAGGTTGGTGTTACAAATGCCTCAAATTAACGCTTCCAAAATCGTGGAAGAAATATATTTGGGTCTGGGCACATCAGGCTCGGTATCTCTTGGTTTCCAGGTGGGTTCATTTGAATTAATGAGCAGATTTCATGACACCGTGAGCCTCTATCAGCATGTCTAGATCACAAGGAAAGCTAGCAGGTGTAAACACAAATGTGTGACCTATGGGGAGGCAGCCTAGAGAATTTCCAATGTACAGAACTCCCACTCCCATAATCCCTGACCATTTGCCACGTTGGCCCAGACTTAGGGGAGTGGTGGTGCTGAACGCCTACATGAGGAAACACTACGGTGCCCATCCTTGGTTTCGCAAGTCCTGGCTTTCCACTTCCATCCTGCGAGTGGATTTGGATCGCTAGCTCTCAGGCTCATAGGCTAAGGCAAGGTTGCTTCCACAAAGCTTGGCAGCTGTTACGAGTCAGTGGACTGCAGACATCCATCCGTTAGGACACCCAGACGAAATAGGCCACTTCGTCCAAGTCAACAGGGTAGTCGGTGACCAACGTGGGCGTCTTGTCGAAGAGCTCACCTTTGTAGCTGCGCCATTTGCCGGCCGGGATGTAGATGTCCCGCTCTTGCTTGCCCATCTCCAAAACGGGGGCCACCATCAAGGTGTCCCCAATGAGGAACTGGGAGTCTATTTTGTGGGTGGACTCGTCGTTGGGAGAGATCCACCAGACGGGGCGGATGATGGGGTCTCCGGTATCCGTGACCTCCCCAGCCAACTCCAGCAAGAGCGGTGCCACCAGAGACTCATGGAGCTTGGTGAACTTGAGGGCGATGTCCACGACCTCTCGGTCATACAGCCAGGGAGGGATGGAGAACTGCATGGAGGGCATGAAGGCCGAGAGCTCCAGCCAGCGGATATACAACTCCCGGTCTGGGATCTCCACTGCGCCGTCCGTCTTGTTGGGGAAGAAGTTCCCGCCGATCATGTCGGCTGAGATGAAAGGGTATCCCAGCATACTTATTGTTAGGACGGTTGGGATCAAGGACTTCAGGCCGAGCTCGTAGCCCCACACCGAATCCCTGTCGATGATCCGGAAGAAGCAGGAGATGTTTTGGGACTGGTAGCCCACCCGGACTTCGGCCAGTTCATAAAAAGGGATGGCCATTTCCGTGTAGCGCCGAGACCAGATGTTGGGGTCGGACAACGGTCGGAAGGTGCTGAACTGTTTGGGCAGGTAGCTGATCTCCCCGGCGTCGAACTTGAAGGAGGAGATGCCGTAGTTGTTGCGGAGCTGCCTGAGGTGGTTCTGAAACCAGTCCCTGGCGGAAGGGTTGGTGAAATCCAAGATGGCGCCGATGCCGTTCCACCACTCCACCATCGCCGGCAGCCTCCCCGTCGGCTCCTTGATGAACAGCTGCCTCTCGATCCCCACCCCGAAGTTGGAGGAGTTGTAGTTGATGAAAGGGTGCGTCCAGAGGGTGATCTCAAACCCGTCTTCTTTGAGCTTCTCGAACGTCTCCGTCGCGTTGGGAAACTTGACGGGGTCAAAGTCAAAGTCCCCGTAGGCCTGCGTGTACGTATCGTCGATTTCAATGTGGCTGCAGTTGAACTTGTATTTCTTAATCTTTTCTGAAAAACGTAGCAGCTTGTCTTGGTCGATGTCGTTCTTATACAAGGCCCACGTCGACCAGATCGGGTACCGGAAGGCGTTCCTTGAAGGGATCTTGGATGGCTTGTAGAAGTATCTCCGCACCATGTATTTGTGGATGGAGGTGATGTCGGAACCGATGCAAACCCGGTAGCTGAGCTCTGGGAAAGGTGGCTGTCCCAATGGGGGCTTGTAAGGGGAGTCCTTATACCTGGCTTGGAAGGTGAGAGACCTCTCGGTGGCGTTGAACCCCAAGTGGAAGGGCACCGAGTCGTTGATCTTGATGGCCGCCGCTTTGGAGGAGAGCCAGTACCGCTCCAAGATGCCTCCAAAGCTGTTCCGGAATGAATAGACGTCGCTGGTCACAAAAGGTGTGGGCTCCTGGGACCCCGGGAGTTGGATGGGCCAGTGCTGGACGCTCATCTCGCAGCCGCCATACCAATGGGCGTCCCCCCAAAACATCTTGTGCTCCACCACCGTGTCCGCCACAAACTCCTCCCACCGGACGCGGTAACACATCACGGTGTCCTTGGGGGTCACGATCTTGATGAAGAAATTGACCCTCCCTTTGTCCGTCCGGGTGCAAGTCAGGTTTGCCCCTTCCCTGGAGCAGGACTCCAAGTCCAGGAGCCCTGACTGGAAGTCCAGCTGGAAGACCAGCTCCCCGTTCTGGTTCTTGATGGTGAAGCCATCCTGGTGGAGGTCCATCTGCTCCGTCTTGAGCCGCTCGGCCTTCCGGAGGGACGCCACATAGTAGCACCAGGCCACCACGGCCGCGATGAAGAGGCCCAGGCCCAGCACGATGGCCACGATCATGGGCTTCAGGTCTTTCACCGGCTTCTGCTTCACCGGAGTGAAGTTCTCCGGCAAAAAGGTGTACATGGTCCCGTCTTATCGGGAGAAGCACACTTTGCAGAATCGAGGCACAATAATCCAGTTCTTGCAAAGGGTTGCTGAAGCATCGGGAGCGTCTCTTTGCTCCCTGGCGACTCGGAGTCCGTGCTTGTTCATTTCCAGGTGTTCGTCTTCGTTAAATGATCTCCAATTCTCGGCCTGGCCCCGGTCACTCCCAGGATGGTGCTTTCTGCAACAAAGAGAAAAGGAAGGAAGTATTAAACTGTTGTTAATGCAAAAATAAGCAGAATACTTCCCTAGATAAAAGGAGGACAAGAAACCTGATGCTTTTAGGTTTTGATTCGCATGCAGGGTATAAATAACAACAACAACAACAACAACACAAGCCAGTAAAGGTGGTCCCAGTCACTTGCTGCAGTACCTAAAGACCTTGGCCTGTACTTAAAAACACTCAGTGCTGACAAAATTACCATCTGTCAGCTGCAAAAAGCCACCCTACTCAGATCTCCACACATTATTCGCTGATACATCACACAGTCCGATGTGTGATCAAATACAAAAACCAGCAGAGTGACCTTGTTTGCTGTGTGCTAATTTTTTATGTATCAAACAATAATAATAATTGTCGAAGGCTTTCATGGCTGGAATCACTAGGTTCTTGTGGGATTTTTCGGGCTATATGGCCATGTTCTAGAGGCATTTCTCCTGACGTTTCGCCTGCATCTATGGCAAGCATCCTCAGAGGTAGTGAGGTCTGTTGGGTAGGAAAATGGGTTTATATATCTGTGGAATGACCAGGGTGGGACAAAGGACTCTTGTCTGCTGGAGCTAGGTGTGAATGTTTCAACTGACCACCTTGATTAGCATTCAATGGCTTGGAAGTGCCTGGGGGGAATCTTTTGTTGAGTGATTTGATGTGCCTGATTGTTTCCCCTCTGTTGTTTTGCTGTTGTAATTTTTGAGTTTTTTAATACTGGTAGCCAGATTTTGTTCATTTTCATGGTTTCTTTCTTATTTGTCCACATGCTTGTGGATTTCAATGGCTTCTCTGTGTAGTCTGACATGGTGGTTGTGGGTGTGGTCCAGCATTTCTGTGTTCTCAAATATTATCACTCTCAACAATATCACTCTCAACAAAAGATTCCCCCCAGGCACTTCCAAGCCATTGAATGCTAATCAAGGTGATCAGCTGAAACATTCACACCTAGCCCCAGCAGACAAGAGTCCTTTGTCCCACCCTGGTCATTCCACAGATATATAAACCCATTTTTCCTACTTCCAACAGACCTCACTACCTCTGAGGATGCTTGCCATAGATGCAGGCGAAACGTCAGGAGAAAAATTGCCTCCAGAACATGGCCATATAGCCCGGAAAAACCTACAACAACCCATTAAACTGTTGTTAATGCAAAAACAAACAGAATACTTCCCTAGATATATGGAGGACAAGAAACCTGATGCTTTTAGGTTTTGATTCTCATGCAGGAGAGATCAAGCAGAGTATAAATAACAACAACAACAACACAAGCCAGTAAAGATGGTCCCAGTCACTTGCTGCAGTACCTAAAGACCTTGGCCTGTACTTAAAAACAATCAGTGCTGACAAAATTACCATCTGTCAGCTGCAAAAAGCCACCCTACTCAGATCTCCACACATTATTCGCTGATACATCACACAATACAAAAACCAGCAGAGTGACCTTGTTTGCTGTGTATGAATTTTTTTATGTATCAAGCAATGACAATAATAATAATAATCTGTATAAATAAAAATGTAATGTTCGTTTGTGGGATTAACAGAACTCAAAAACCACTGGACGAATTGACACCAAATTTGGACACAAGACACCTAACAACCCAATGTATGTCCTTCACTCAAAAAAAAAATGATTTTGTCATTTGGGAGTTGTAGTTGCTGGGATTTATAGTTCACCTACGATCAAAGAGCATTCTGAACTCCATTAATGATGGAATTGGACCAAACGTGGCACACAGGACTCCTATGTCCAATAGAAAACACTAGAAGGGGTTGGTGCACATTGACCTTGAGTTTGGGAGTTTTTTCGGGCTATATGGCCATGGTCTAGAGTAATTTTCTCCTGACTTTTGCCTGCATCTATGGCAAGCATCCTCAGAGGTAGTGAGGTCTGTTGGAACTAGGAAAAAGGGTTTATATATCTGTGGAATGACCAGGGTGGGACAAAGGACTCTTGTCTGCTGGTGCTAGGTGTGAATGTTTCAACTGACCACCTTGATTAGCATATAATGGCCTGGCAGTGCCTGGAGCAAACTTTTGTTGAGAGGTGATTAGATGTCCTTGTTTGTTTCCTCTCTGTTGTTGTGCTGTTGTAATTTCAGAGTTTTTTTAATACTGGTAGCCAGATTTTGTTCATTTTCATGGTTTATTTATTAATTATTAATTTATTTATTTAGAAGTTTTCTATACCGGCCTTCTCACCTCAGCGAGGGACTCAGGTCGGTTTACAGCATACATGAAAGTACAATAATATATAAGTACAACAAAGTGCAACGTCGTTACATATTAAAATAGTACAATAAAGTACAATAAAAACATCATCATCACAATTACCTAAGCCAAGTCGTCAATCCAGTCATAGTCATAATCATAGTCACAGTTCATCATCCTCCTTCCTTGTGGACGGAGGTTATAGATTCAGTCCTCGAATGCCACATTCCAGAGCCAGGTCTTTAGTAGTTTCCTGAACGTCAGGAGGGAGGGAGCAGATCTAATCTCTAGTGGGAGGGAGTTCCAAAGCCGGGGAGCCACCACCGAGAAGGCCCTGTCCCTCGTCCCCACCAGCTGTGATTGCGAGGGTGGTGGGACCGAGAGCAGCCCCCCCCCCCCCGGAAGATCTCCAAAAGCTC